CTCCACCAACTTGCTTCCAATTATGTATTTATGGCTAAGATAGATTTTGCAACTAGAATCACAACTTCCCTTCTCCATTTTGCTGAAGAGAGATCAAGAGTGGAGGGGAAAGCTCAAGGAAAAGCTTGGATGACAATTAATATTTAATCATGAAACTCTCTAAAGACTTGGGTCCTCCCCTTTGATGTCCCCATCGATTTTTTTTTTTTTTTTTTTGGTTTTTGGAGACAGTGTTTCTCTGTGGCTTTGGAGACTGTCCTGGAACTTGCTTGGTAGTCCAGGCTGGTCTCGAACTCACAGAGATCCACCTGCCTCTGCCTCCCGAGTGCTGGGATTAAAGGCGTGCGCCACCAACGCCTGGCTCAGATTCTTATTGTAGTCACAGGAAGTACAGATAAGTCAGAGAGGGAAACTTCACAGTGCCATAGCCCCATCTCTGTTTCTTGGTATAGGTTGGTGTCTTCCTGATAGAGAGCTGAAAAAATGTTTTTTATCTATCATCTATCTACCTATCTAGCCATCTATTATCTACCTACCTATCTTTATCTATCGATGGATTGATCTGTGTGATGTATATGAATTTGTATGCATCTGAGAACCACAAATCATATTTTTAACTATCTATCTATCTGTCGATCATCTATTATCTACCTATCACCTATCATTTGTCTATCACCTGCTTATTTCATATCTGTCATCTATTTATCTCATCTGTGTCCCCTCTATCTATCATCTAGTGTATAATATGTATGTTTGCATAGGTTCTGTGTCATGCCCAGAACATGGAGATTAGAGGACAACATGCTGAGGCAGTTCTCTTCCACCCTGTGGTCCAGAGAATCAAGCTCAGGTCATTATGTTTGTCATCAAACACCTTTATGCTGAGCCATCCTACAGCCCTGAGAGCTGCATACTTTGTCATCATGATAACTGTGTTATCAAATGGGACTTTAATAGAGTCAAGGAAAGAAAGGATTTTTCTGAACGACCATGAGGATCATTTGCAAATGACAGGATGAGACAGTACAGGGAATCTGATCTGTGTAGATAATAATAACTGCCATTTCATATTTCTTTCCCATATGCTAGGCAATTTGCATGTATCTGTCTTTTCAATACCCACCACAACCCTAGACTTTGATTCATAGAAAAGAGAGCAATGATGTGTGAATTTCTCAATTCCCCTAATAAGTGCATCAGGTTCACAAAGTTGGTGTTTTAGAAACATTTTTGAAGTAAAAATATAATTACATCACTCTCCTTTTCCCTTTCCTCCTCCAGCCCCCTTTCATGCACCTCCTCCCCCTTATAAGAACAAGTGATTGTGTGGTCCCCAGCCCCAACTGTTCTATCTACAAACAACTTCTGAACCTAATGCTCAGGAGACATTGCAGAAGAGGGGACAGAACAACTGTAAAAACCAGAGGAATGGGATATCAACTGTGAGACTGCACCTTCTAGAAATGCCAGGATAGCTACAACCATGAAGTCTCAACAACATGGCTGCCTAAACAAGACCTGCCTGAACAAAGGCAACACCAGCCAACATATTAGCATGAAGTGGGGAGCACCCATGGGAGCTCCAATCCTGAATAAAGAACTTCAGGCAACTGAGGAATACTGAGAGTTGGAGAAAGCAGTTCTACCCAGTAAGGAATCCATGTGGTCAACCCTAGAATAATATATGTACATCTAACTACATATCACAAGCAGCTGATACTTTTTTAACTGCAACTCTCCACTTACCCTCTCAAATGCTACAGTTTCAAACTATTTTAAGGTGTCCTTAGACACAGGCCAATGGTTTGTAGTGTTAGTAACCTTCATGTTCTAACACCAGACTTCATGCTATATTATCGTATTTGAACTATGATTATTTTTATTTATTTATTTTATTATTTATTTTTAAGTTTAAATTTAGATTATAAACAAGGTTGCTTCACAAGTCAGTTCCAGGTCCCTCTCCCTTTCCCTCCCTTCCTCCCTTGCCCGCCCCCCAACCCCCCCATTATCCTCTCATTTCCCCAGGGAGGATGAGGCCCTCCATGGGGGTGTCCATAGTCTGTCATTTCATCCAGGGCAGGGCCTAGACCCTCCCCCAAGAGTTCAGGGTGAGAGTGAATCTCACATTGTTGGATGGGAGCCCAAAGTCCATTTGTATACTCGGGATGAGTACTGATCTACTGCCCAAGGCTCAATAGATTACCTAGGCCTCCTCACTGACACCCATATTCAGGGGGGTCTTGATCAATCCCATGCTGGATTCCCAGGCTGATGTCTGGGATTCAAGAGTTAACCTTTGTCAGGTCAGCTGTTTCTATGATTATTTTTGACATAGCAGATTGTTCAGTTTTGTGTCTATCTATTCTGTCTTTACTCCCCAAACCAATGTAAAGTGAATCTGAACACCCATCATCTCTAAGTGCATGTTTTGCATTCCAAAGGCTTTTGGGGACTGTCTTACTTTGTCAGTATTCTCTTCAGCATGGTTGGTCTCTTGTTTCCATCTGTATGTGTCTCTCTCCTGCTGGCTCTCAGTGTCATCACTGTGGAATCCCTGCTGGGCTCTTTGCTCTTAGCTCATACATTTCTGCCTCAGCAGCACCATCAAGCCTCCATGTAGGAACTCAGGACACTCCAGGAGGGGACTATCACAGAGCAGAGCATCTCTCACTGTCTGGACCAAAAACCACAAAAGGGTGTGGAGGGATAAGCCACTTGTCCTCAGTGTGCCTGGTACTTATGGAGAAATACAGGGCACCAGTTCAAGAACTGTGCTCCAGAGCAGAGATGTAAGTGGGTGTCAACACTGTGTGTTACCAAATACTATCCTTGGGTAAGCAATGTCACCTGACTCTGTTCCCTTGGCATGGAGGTAAGGTAGCTCTGAAGAGATGGTGCATAGCACTTGACTTGTGTGGCTCACAGGTGTTCCCCGTAGACAGGTGACCACTGAGAAGTCAGCCCCTGCTTTTACTGACTGCAAAACTGAGGCAGAGACAAAGGGATAGTTTGCATGCACATGGCTGACTTTTGTGTGGCAGCACTGGGGATTTTACTTTACCACTGGTGGCCTGTCTAGAATCTTTGAGACTGTGTTATTGCTTTTATTATTTATGCTTCATATATGAAACACTGATGTCTGTGGGTTGTTTTTCTTCTCAAATTAATGGATTTAAGGTGAGCTATTATGTCATCTGCTGCTGCTCTGAGGATAGGGACAGAAAGCGAGACAGGATTAGGCCGTCGAGGTGAGCACAGAGCCTTGGAGTGGGAAGCTCACCACAGGCAGCCTTCCAAACACAGTTGTGGGCAGTGAAATAACCAGTCTTGCACAGACCTGGATTAAAAACAAAACAAAACAAAACAAAACAGAATCCTTGCCGCCATGTCAATTGCAGTTTGATAGAAATGGGTCCTAATGTAGGCTTAAAGGGGTACAGCACAAATGAATTAAACGAATTCCCATCTTGTTTTTTAAAATGACTCTGAAAAAAAACTGGCAGCAGAAATTGACTCACTGAGACTCACACGGGGTGGGTCTTCTGGGTATATCCACAGCATGATTGACATTTCATCTGCCCTGCAGACAACAGACACCAGGAGAATACTCCTCCGAAATCACAGACCCAGAGCCTGCAGCACGAGTCTGATACAGCTGTGCCTACAGATCTTACTTGGAGACTCCTTGCGTTTTTGGAAAAGCTGGGAGGACAGCACTTGTTTTAATCTTACTATCTCCTAATTAAGCTCCTCAGCTGTCATCGCAGTTCCCTAAGTTCCCGAGCATACCAGGTCTTTATCCCTAAGCATTGACAAAGCAGGTCTGAAAAGAACAACCAGCTGGCATTGAGGGTGGTAGGACTTTTTCCTTGGTTCCGTTTCCACCGTTTCTTCCTCCTGGCAAGATTGCAGTTTCCTTAGCATGCACAGGCATCCCCTGTTTCTTCTTCATTTGTTTATTTCTGACTTCAAGCTCCCTTTTTAGCAGCTTCTCTTCCCACCATACTCACACCAAGTACAAAATAACAACGGAGAAAACATTTTAATTATTCTCAACCACAATGTGGACTTCTGAGCAACAACAAACAAGAGAGCCTTGGAGACCCTGGGAGGTGGCTAGAGACTGCCTAGAGCAAAGCCAGAGGAGGGGACATACCCACCACTGCTGGGTCCAGAGGCCCAGCCCAGGCCCTGCTTCCTCCTTCACCTGGGAGGAACTGTTTGGTGAATTTGCTGAATTCCATCTGATAACTTGTCCCTAGTCAGGCTCAGATAAGGAGTTGCTATGCTAAGCAAATTGCTTTAAGGAAAATGTAGGGGTGTGTAGGGCATAGTGGGAGACATTTTCAAAGGGAAGATAAAAACTTCAGCTGAATTTGTACTGGGAAGTGCACCGAATTGGAGACTAAGTCCTGGATATGCTAGAAACTTGTCTTGTGACACTCTGGGTAACATTTCTCTAATTTATAAAGTGTCAAGATCTCCGAGGCCTCTGGGAGAAAGCAGGGGGTCCTAGTAGATCTTGAAAAGTAAAAGGGAACAGAGCACCCCACCCCACCCCACCCCTGCCCAAAGAGAGAGGAAGCTAATCAAACAAGAGGAAAGGTGTCCGAGGTAGAGGGAGTACGGGAGAACGAAGTTAGAAGTGTTCATGAACAGAAAACTGGGAATATTTTAAAAGTGAAAATCGGTTTCTGGATCCCCCCCCCTTTCATCTTCATGCATTCTTTTAGTATTTATACACAAACACAGTAATTTTTGTGTTAACTACGGAGTGAAATGAAGAAAATGCTTATCAAGAGCTAGCAGGGAAATGAGAGGAAGAAATGTCTGATTTCTCTTCAGGTCGTCCCCAGATAGCCCACAGGACATCCCCCACCTCTGGTGAGGTGGCCTGCAAAGACCCAGCGCTCCTCGTGGGGACTTGGCCGCGAAACCGCCAGAGGGAGCTGCATGCCGGGAGGGGCGGAGCTGCTTTAAATCTCAGCGCCGGGCGGTTCTGCATTTCAGAGAACTCTGCCACTTCTCGCTTCCAGATTCCGCGGGCAGCTGACACGGACCAGAAGCCAGGAGCCTCGCCCGCAGCCGCACAGGGAGCAGGGGTCCTAGCAATAACTTGCTCGACGACCACCCTGCCACCTTCGGGAGCCCAGGTGCGCACCTTGCAAAACTCCGCTTTCTGCACCTGCCACTAAGCCCGCACGAGAGCCTTGGACAGAGCCATGGCCAACGCGGGGCTACAGCTGTTGGGCTTCATCCTGGCCTCGCTGGGATGGATCGGCTCCATCGTCAGCACTGCCCTTCCCCAGTGGAAGATTTACTCCTATGCTGGGGACAACATCGTGACCGCCCAGGCCATCTACGAGGGACTGTGGATGTCCTGCGTTTCGCAAAGCACCGGACAGATACAATGCAAAGTCTTCGACTCCTTGCTGAATCTGAACAGTGAGTGCACTCCCCCAACTCCTCACCCCTCACAACCCTCTCCCCATTGCCGCCCCCGACCCCCCCGCCCAGGTCTCAGACCTCGGAGCCCCTGTTATCTGTCCTGTACCCTCTCTAGGTTGGTCAAGGCTTCTGAGCATGTGCTCTGTCATGAGAAAGCAGAAAGAACCCGGGCCTCAGGTCAAAGCCCTAGATTTGCCTTTTAAGTCCCTGCTTGGCACCTTCTGCCCTTCTGGGTGTGATTTAGCCTCAAATTCCAATCAGGGTGGGTGGAGAATGGGAGAAGGGAGACCACAGTGGAATTTGAACTTTTTGGGCCTTTCCTGCACATTCTAATAGTGTTTGGGCAAGAAAATGGTACACTTTGGGTAGGTTTTCAAGCCTTCAAAGTTAAGTGAATTCAGTTCCAGAAACATCAAATAAGGGACTTTCTGACTCTTGTCTCGTGTTGTTTCCTAAGTGCAGCTAAGGTTAAATCTTTGGGTCTTTTGGCTTTTCCTCCTTGAAGAACCTCTTGAGATTCCCACCCAAGGTTGGCTTTCCAGCCTCGGGTCTCCAGAAGAGGCAGCGTGTGCAGTACAAGTTTAGAACAAGAAGGCTGGCGGCACGTGGGGAGGGGACTCACAGAGAAGAACCGTTCTGAATAACCAGGCCAGAATGAAAAGAGCAAGGGCATACAGAAGGCAGCGTCGTGGGTGTCACTCACAGCGGCAGATACTGGCTGGGAAGAAGGTTGGGAGGAGGGAGAAGGGGTCTTCTCATGTTTTCCCTCCCGCAAAGCCATCTCCACGGAATGGAGGATGGCCCCTCATGTATGAAGTGGGAAAGGAGAATATAGACTTCAGAATTTCTGCAGGTCCTGGAGAAGCAGGTGGTAAAATGCCTTCCTGTTCACGTTTAGATAAACTGTTGAGTGCTTTATCAAGGAGCTGTTAAATTCTGGAACTGACTTTTGAAGCAACCTCGTTTCTTATCTAAATTTAAACTGGAAAATAAAAAAAATAACTGTCTATCTAGAAAAAAAAAGAAAAAAATTCCCACCTAGGTAGTGTCACTCATGGCTGTTCTCTCCTCCTTGTGTCCTGTGAGTCTGTCCTGCCCTTTAGTTCACAGGAAGACCTCCCTTAGTCTTTTCCTAAACAAAGCTGTCCCACAGTCCTCTGTCAATACTAGAGTCAACAGTGCTGGCATTGTCTCCATCCTACCAGGGTTCTTCATCTACCCCCAGCAAATGCACTTCCCTTTACAGTTGTGAGAACTGCCACAAATCAGCTCGACACCCCGAGTACCTGTAGAATTTAGTTAGCCAATGTGGTTTTGTTTCCACATCTGGATCCCTGTACCAAAGGTAATCTATAAATTTGGTGAGTGTGCGTTGCTTATTACCCTCCTGGATACACTCGGGGGTGTTAACAACTGGGAAATAAGGAACATACTGGCAGAAAGATAAATGAATTTAAGGAAATGGTTCCAGGCCCGCACTGTACTGTAGGGCTGGCAGGTGAGATGTGTTATAGGCAAGTCCAGAGTGCTTCCCTGCCACTTCTGTTCTTCTAAGCCAAATACTTCATTTTATCAGGTTGGAAGTCTTCAAACAAATGGCTGGATAGAGTAATGGTCCATGCACCAAATGCCCATGCCATCCCTACCCAGAATACTACATGAAATGTATTATTATAATGTATTCCTTGCTAATATAGTTATAGTTCTTAAAAAGTGTGACAAAAGTAGTAAATATCCTTCCCTCACAAGCATTTTCAGAAACTGCCTGTTTGTTGATTTGCTTAGTGGAGAACAGCTTCTGTTTTCTATTTTCGTTAAAGCCATAGTTTATTCAAAATGGAGTCCAGGAGCCTCTATGTCCAAACCAATTCTCAGAAGCGTGAGCCTTAACTCATGTCTTCTCTCCCAGCTGAGCAATGATTCACTCACTAGGTGCTTTTGGACCAGGCCCAGAAAACTTGTCTCTGTTTCTGCACCTGAGCAGTGGTGTTCACGCCCACTCGATGAAGGGATCTGGTTGGTGATTCACTGGCTGGTTTTGGTGTAGTTCCCTCACGCCTGGAGATGAAAAGGTTCATTCTGTGTGTGTGTGTGTGTGTGTGTGTGTGTGTGTGTGTGTGTGTGTGTGTGGTGTGTGCCTTGTGAAGGGATGCTTTGAGGTGAGAGGCATGGCTCCTAAAATTGTGCTCCAAGCTTTGACAGCAAAGCCACCTCACCTAAGTATAAAGATAGAGTGTGTCAGTGTTTTGTAACAAGACATCCCAGGCTGCTGCTTCTGTTGTATCTGGGTATCAGTTGTGAAAACCGAATGACCTTTACACAAAATGTGCACGAAGCAGTATTATTACACCAGATGGAGAGCCCATGTACACAGCTGAAAGAGACTATATTGTATGTAGTTTTGGCCAAACAGTTTGTGAAAATGTAGCTGGTAAATTTCCTGGAGAAACAATTGTTACACTGTGCATTATGGCCAATAACAGCCAAGACTATTTCCATACACCCACATGTGCTATTTATCTAGAGTGATGACCCTTGCAGCTGAAATTTAGACATACAAAGGAAAGGGCTGGGTGCAGTTCTGGTGGTCTTTTCTTGATCACCTTTCCACATCTCCCTTGGTTTTGTTTGAATTCCCAGCATTGTGGGAAGCCAGTTGCCTGTTTAGCTAACTGCTTCTGTTTGCTTCACTCCAATAGTCAGCAGTGTTCGAAGACGGGGTTTTCCCAGGAGGCTGCATGTTGGGAGGTATCAAAGCAGAGAAGAAGTAAGCATTTTTGTAGGAATGCTGTTCTGAAGATCCAAGCACCAGACAAATGGGAGGTTATGCTAGACTCTCTTTAAGTCTCATCTAGCCCTGAACTTCTGTAATTTGTTTATAAGCTACCCCAGCCTGTTGAACTTGCTCTGCATGAATCCACATGTGTGGAGGTGTGCTTAATGAGTATTGGTTGTCATGAGGTTTCTCAGCACTCTCACCATGATGTCAGGCTCCATCGGGGGAGCAAAATCACTGACTTGGATGTCTGTGTGTGCGGCCCAGGCAGAAAGGACAGCAGCCACTCAGGCTTCTCCGGACTCCTTTATGGTGCTAAGAGTGAACATTCAAAAAAGTCATGGGTGTGAAGAGTAAGACAAAAATGAAGCCAGAGTCAAGGCTCAAAGTGAAAACACGTTGAGTTCCTGCTCCAATTTGCACTCTCCAGGGAGAGCTGCTTGTCTCCCTAGACTAAGGTGGCTTCAGCACTTGGAAAACAGAGCAGAGTAAGAGGAAAAGAGGGACGAATCAAAGGCCCACTCAGCAAACCTGAGCCTGGCCCAGCGAAGACTCTAGCCACTATCAGCTTTCTTTGTTAGTAACTTCAGTGACTAAATGAAAAAAAGCAAGAGACGTAGCACAGGTTTCCTAGATCAGAGTGATAATTAAACGTCATGGAAAAAGTTGTTTGAGGCGAGGAGTGAGCACGAGAGGTTGAAAGGAAGAGGAAAGGACAGTGGAAAATGATGCAATTGCATTTTACTAAAAAACAAAACAAAACATGGAAACAGTAATGCAGGACATGCATTTAATACTCAGCTATTTTTAAAAAATGAATGTTATGCTTTTAAAATAAAAAAGGTGGCGAAACTTCTCAGGATTCCCTGAGAGATACCAAGCTCTCATCCTCCCGAACCACTTTGACCACAGCTCGAACTTACGTGCTGCCGGCACACTTAGCCCACTAGTTCATGCACAGGTGGAACAGAAATGCAACAGTGAAGGCACTTGTGAAACATGGAACACTGGTAAAGTGAAAGCCATAATAATAAAAAACTCCATAGCACCGTACTCTGGCAGTCCACATGAGCTCATTTACTTGCGAAAAAGAAAGGGCATTTTTGCCCTAGACACACAGCAGGCGGTTATTTTATTTATCCCCTGAGATGTATTAGGACTGTGTGAGGGCAGAAATACCATTAAAATCTGGCTTGCTCATGATATATGAAACATAGGGTAGGGATGGTAATAGGGTATAGTGCAGAGCCAAGTACTTATGGGGATTCTCCTGCTTGGAGAACATGTCTTTAAAGTTTAGGGGGAAAATAAATCCCTGCCTGTCTATGCTTGTCTTTGCAAACTTTGATTAAAATAACGGTAGTAGAAGGATAGTGTCTAACTCATTTCTTATAAGTAGAGATCTTTGTAAGTATTTTTTTAATTATGCTTTCAGGTTGAAAGTGGTGAGAACTCCTTAGGGGGTCTTTAAGCTGCAGATTTTCAATCTGGCTGAGTGTAATTAAAAGGCAGCCTTCCTGTTTACTGCCGGATAATGCTCAGAAACAATAGTGTAACTTTTCTAAAATTTGCTAGCCAGGTTTTCCACACACACCTTTAGTTAAAATGTTATAAAGCTAGTTACAAATTTAAAGGGCCAAGAAAGAAATGTAAGTGCTACTAGGTGTAGTGCAATAGTATATGGATTTATTTCTGCTCCAAATATTATTTTGCAGCTTTCATATTTCACTAGCAATTTCTATGTTCTGTCTTCCTCATTTTGGTGAGAGAAAGAAAGTAAAACACCATCACAAGAGCTTATTGAATAGAGGACTTAAAAAACTCTGTCAAGTTAAGAGGAAAAGTCCAGCTTTTCCCTCTGCAATGAATTTCTAGCATTTTGTAGCCTAACTTCAATAGCTTTTACACACCAAAACTTTAGCATCATCAGACCTTCAAAGAGGTGTCTGTCAGATAAGTATGATCTTGAAGATTTAGCTTAACATAAGTATGTGCTTTCTATCTCACATAGCCGTTCTGAAGAGCAAAGGCATCCTTCTAGTCCCAGCTGCTAAGAACAGATGGGATGATGCCGGTGGCTGGTCAGGAAGTGTGAGCAGCACTTCAGATGGAAGCCCTCCAAGGGCAGCAGGTCACACCTACTGCTCTCACTCAAATGGCTTCCACAAGGCCTTCATTGGGAAAAAATTCACCTAGGCAAGCTGAAAACTCCAGTTTAGAATGGATCTTCACACAAAATAGTCACAACCTTAAAATAATAGTTTCTTTGCCTCACTGTGCCAAGCTAGTAAGCTTTCAAGATGTTGCAATTTTCCACCATTGTCTATGGTGTGTGAGAAAGTTTGTATTATTTTTATACTTTCTGCACATATCATTATGGTTAAGAGTCATCTGATGTCGCCAGGCTTTGGTGGCCTTTAATCCCAGCACTCAGGAGGCAGAGGCAGGCAGTTCTCTGTGAATTTGAGGCCAGCCTTGTGTACAGAGAGAGTTCCAGGACAGCTTCCAAAACAATACAGAAAAACCCTTGTCTCAAAAAAAAAAAATAGTTATCTGATGTCTCCATTTGATGCCAGTCTAATATAAAACAGAGGATAACTCATAACTCTATGGCTTCTGGGTGTAAAAGGAAAATGTTGCTTACTTTGTACTACTTTATCATGTTTTAAAATGAACATAAGGCCCCTCATCTCTATGGCTGTGTAGTTACAAAATATATTGTCCTTGGGCTCCATGTCTGTGTGTTGGACACTGTTCTATAAGAAAAGAAAGCATTGTAGGCTTATTAGTAAGCATGGGCTAGAATATCTGTCAGTTACCTTTAACTTTGCCAAAGGAGTAAATAAAAAATAAAAATATAATGGTGTGAAGCACAGATGAAAATTTTGTGCACATTTGATGATTGTAAACGGAGGTAGGTGGCAGGTCCACAGGCTATACTTGGGTGTTCCTTGAATAGAAAATCAGATGTTTCATAAACTTAGTCCTTGAGACGGATGCTCAGGAGGCTCCTCCTGAAGGATGTCTTGTGCCCAATGCTCACACTTGTGGGGCTGGTGGCCTGTGCTTTGACTTCATGAGGGATTAGAATGACTATTATATGAACTAAGTGGGAGTGGGAGCTGTGTAACAGGCCAAAGTTCCAGAGATATCAAAGACACCAAGAGAAGTAATCCATAGAGAGATGATAAATAAATGAATTGTGACAAAATAAAGAGGAGGTGTCTGAGACCAAAGAGGCTGTATACCTCTGTGAAGGGCTACTGTAATATTAGTGTTTTCTAATTATATTGTTCCTTCACTCAGGGTAAGAGTCAGGTCACCCCGCCTTAGGATCCTCCAATGACTTCTCATTACATTTGGAATAGACTCTGAACTGCTGACTGTGGCTAATAAAACTTTAATGTATATGGTATATGTGTATGTGTGTATGTCTGCCTATGTCTGCATATGTGTTTTATATATACATACATGCACATATATGTGTGTGTGCTTTCTGCCAACCTTGTTAAATGTCATTGCACTTCCCACCATGTCATTTATATATAGGATAACCAGTTGCCCCAGTTTACTCAGGATCTGGGGCCGACTTAGGATGCCGGATTTTTCATTTAAAGTATAGAGTAGCCTGGGCAAACCAGCAGGAGAGGTCAGCTCTCTTCCAGACACATGGATTCCTTTATTTGACTACAGAATCTTCTGAGCTGAACATTGGAACCAAATCTCAAATCTGTGTTTTATAAGAACATAATCATCTAGTTTTTCATTTTCCTAGTAAGGAAATAGCTGCCCTTGCAACTACTGCTGATAAATCAGAAGGAAGTGAACACCTTACCTGAGAGTCCTCGGGACTTTCCCCTTTATACCACAGCAGGGTTTGCAATTCCACAGAAAGCTTTCTGCTGGTCATGTGAACAGCTTTAGTTCCTAGTAAAGCCGCAGGTGTGGAACATAGCTTTAGTCCTGTTGTTCCTTTGGCACCCTGGAGCCCTGCATTCAGTACAAGAGAGGTGTGCATATCAGCTTACTGCCTACTTATGAGCAGATGAATATGGAGCAAGAAGCAGAGAGCGTACTGTTTTGCATTTTGTTGAAAAGAGTAAAAACTGCTGCCAAATATCACCAAAATACTGTGAAAACACATTGGATATGATTTAGAGAGGAATTAGAGTAATTCTGCCATCGATTGTGATAACAAAGATAAAAATGGGTATCAGTGAAAATGGCATGGTGTTCCAGAGGTGTTCTTGTGGAATTGAGATTGGTAACCTAACTGCTCAGTCTTGAACACGTGAAGATCCTGTATACACATTAAGTAAGTACTGGGGCTGTCATCATCATAGTCACCTGTGAAGACCAACAAGCAGCGACCTGTTCTTACTCACTGAGTAGAGATGTCATCCTCATATTTCATAAAATACTGACATTGCTCTAAATAATCTTAGGTAGTTTTTCCAAGATCCTAGTTTGTTGAGATGGTAAATATTTCCATATACAACCTACCATTCAGGTATTAAGGCTGTAAGTAAGAGGATGATGTTCAGTTGAAAGAAGAAATGAATCTGTAATTTAAGCTCTCCTAACCAGTGTACCTCCCTCACACAAACACCCTATATTGTTATACCCTAATGTGGGCTCTCAGTTTTTATTCCTTAGAAGATACACTGACTCAGTCTCTCAAACCTGATCCTGTGTCTGGTGATAATAACATTACACAACAAAGATAGGTTCAGGGACTTTAGAAATTGGCAGAAACCTGAGAAATACAAGTTGGGGTTATTATCTCTGACTTTATAACATGAAGATTTTCTAGTTTTAAAAACTGATGATGTCATTTTCTATGAATCTACCACTATGCTCCAAGTTACCGCCTTAAAGATTGTCTTAACATCAATGTCCTAGAAGGTTGTATGCTTCCCTACTCAACTTCTCATAACCGGTGGAAAAATGTTGATTATCTAGCCACAATGATCTCTGAAAATGTCATTTGTCATCCATATTCACTTTTTAAATGAAGGTTAAAGATTGTAGTCTAAAACAAGTGACTAGTACTAAAAATGTATTTTGAGCCATGTAATTAGAAATGGTGACCATTAAGAATAACATGACTGTTAGTTCAGAATCTAAATACCCAGGTAGTAATGATTATATATTCGATTCAGTGAGACCCTATTCAGCTGGTTCATTAATTATTTTTTCAGGTGATTTTGAGTTTAATAACTGAAGTCCTAGCCATTTCTCTGACTCTCTACCCATCTCCATAGCAACCATTCTGGTGGGTACAGGAGAAGTGTCCCTACAGTTCTTTGACCTTTGGAATCCTTGTTCACTTTTCTTCCTCCGGAAGAACACTGAAATATATTTCATCACCCACCACTCTTCTCCTACTGTCCAGGCAGGATTTTTACATGTCCTGAACGTTTTCTCTCAGGTACTTTGCAGGCAACCCGTGCCTTGATGGTAATTGGCATCCTTCTGGGACTGATCGCAATCTTTGTGGCCACCATTGGCATGAAGTGCATGAAGTGCTTGGAAGACGATGAGGTGCAGAAGATGTGGATGGCTGTCATTGGTGGCGTGATCTTTATCACTTCCGGTAAGAGAGGCTCCTCCTTCTCCCATACCTATTTTCTCAGGTGTGGTTTGAAGTCTAGTTTTCTCGTGGTTAGTTTCTTTAGTTTATGGTAGATTCATTGTACTTGGAAAGCTTTTAAGTATCTTATCATCTGTAAGATACTTTACAGATGCTGCCAGGATCTTACAGTCAGTTGACTCTCATGTTCTCAGTAAAAATCAAATGACAAGCTGACTTGTGGGCACTTTTGTCATGTACAACCATGAAAGACTCGAGTGCCCACTTGTTTCTTAGACCCAGTCTCTTCAGATTCAGAAAGATGTCTGATACTTAGCAAAAAGAGTCTGGACGATTTCATGTGATTCAGAATATTCTGTTTGGCAATGGTGGTACATGGCTGTGATTCCCAACATGAGAGTCTCTCTCTCTCTCTCTCTCTCTCTCTCTCTCTCTCTCTCTCTCTCTCTCTCTCTCTCTCTCTCTCTCTCTCTCTCTCTCTCTCTCTCCCTCTCTCTCTCTCTCTCTCTCTCTCTCTCTCTCTCTCTCTCTCTACACACACACACACACCACATTATAAAGAAACTTAGAAAATGTTAATAAAGTGTTTCAGTATATCTAGGTACAGAACATAAGGAAGACCGAGAAAATGTGAATAATATGAGAATGATACTGGATTGGGAAAGATGAGATTGGAGACAGTAGAGAAAGATAAAGGTAATGGGTAGAGCTAATTCTACAATAAATATGATGTACCGATGGATCAGAGAGAAGATAGGTCCACTGGAGTGTAGCAGGTGGAATATTGACAAGGTAGGGTATACGGTTAGCCAAGCTAAAGAAGAAAACTGCAGAAAAGGATTTAAAAATTGTTGACAAAATAGGCTATGTGTTGCACAGAAAAGAAATTCATTTTCTGCTTTACTCATGTTGACTGACATGTTAGGATATATGTCTGAGGAACAAAGAAATCTAAATGATGGACACCATTTCAGAATTTTCTATGGATATTTTAAGTATGACAGCTATTATATTGTAGATATGCTATTGATCATTTTCTTATGTAGACACTATATAATACATAGGTTGAGCAATAGACTATTGTATAGCTCTCATGTGTTATATGTATGTAATAATCTATTACATTGGTTATATTGCTATTAAAAATGAGAATTAGATTTTACCTCTTTATTTCCCTTGTTGGCATAAGACTGGCGGGGGCCTTATAACAAGCATAGTTTGTGGACTTAGCCAGTAATAGAGACAGAGCATGACATTTTGCTAAAGATGATATGGTTAAAGTGACCAGATGCTCACTTTGTCCAAACACCAATTAGCTCCTACCTGAAAGGCATAAACAAATTTTTATTCCTAATTTCTAACTTTACATCAAAGACTATATTGTATTGTACCATAGCCATCCCCATGATTCCCATAAATACCACAGATGAACATGTTTCTCAGTGCAATCCAGGACAGCCTCAGGAGTCCAGGTGGCCAGTTGAAGAGCATGTACATGATCAGTTTGCACAGACAGCCAGAATGATCTTACATACCATCAAATACTATAAAAAGAAACTACTTGTTTTTTTATTAGTTTTAGATTTGACAGTTTTATGTGAATTTATTATATGAATCATGGTATTTTGAAATGTGGATGGATAAATTAAGCTGTATGTATGTTTTGCCTCAAATATTATTTCTGTTGGAATAACACTTTTCAACCACTATATAGCATTTATTCTTCTTCTCCTCCTCCTTCTATTCTCTTGTTTTTCAAGACAGGTTTCTTTGTGCAACTCTGGCTTTCCTCGAACTAACTCTGTACTTCAGGCTGGCTTTGAACTCACACAGAACCACCTGTCTCTGCCTCCCTAGTGCACTCTTTAGTATTTTTTAGGGCCCTGAAGTCACTACTTTATAAAAGAAATCTCTCAAACTTATTCTTATTTTCTACTTGAAAGTTTGTATCTTTGGACAATTATCTCTTTGGATAAAAATAAATTCTTTAATTTAGACATCATAGAAACACTGGAATGAGTGGCATTTCCTTCCATTATTGATTACAAAATATCATGAACAATCGAGTTCACTTATATAGATCAGTCCAGTGTGTCACCTAACCAGATATTGCCTTAAACCTGGGACAAGAAGAATCTGGATGTTCTGGCTCATTCTGTGAGGTTTACTTCCTGTGATAGCTAGCTCTGGTTTTGCTGCTGGACCCAAGCCTAAAAATCAATTTTAAATTTGTCAAGAAGAATGAAGGAGGATTTTCATCTTACCCTTTGTAAGCAGCTCTCTGCTAATGTGAACAAATTTTTTTTCAAAACTAGCTTCATACACTAAACTATAGCACTGCAGAACCTTTGCCAGAGGTTTTGAAAAGAATGGACCATTTGGGTTCCTGAAGAACAGTATTTGTGTCAGTGGCCTTGGACTATAAATAAATAAGATGTCATAAATAGCAAAATCTAGGCCCAGCTTCAATCTAATTTCTTTGTAATTTTTTGCAGGACAGTTGGAATAAATCATATCTAAGTCAAATTGATTTCCACAACAATAAAATAAAATGTCTGCACTCTTGATGAGGTTTCAATTCTTATAGAGTACAATTGGGTTTAATAGTCTGTGCTTTTTTGTGCTCAGTGCCCCATCGTGATTAATGACTTTGCTTTGAATTTCTGTAGGTCTGGCGATTTTAGTAGCCACAGCATGGTATGGAAATAGAATTGTTCAAGAATTCTATGACCCCATGACCCCCGTCAATGCCAGGTAATGCTAGTCATGCATAAAATAACTCATTCTCTGAAAAACAACCCTTTTTGTCTTCAGCAGACGCCTGCCAGTGCCTTAGTTTCTCAGATGTGCTTTTAAGAATTGTATGGAAATTTATGTCAAACTTGCAAATAGTTTAAATGACCTGTGACTCATGTTAAAATGAATTGGATAATCGCTTTAACAGCCAGTACTGCTGACAAAATGCACTTCAAAGGAGAAATGTTCTAGCTGGATTCAGGCCAACAATATATCACATCTTTTTCCTTCCCCACATATGAACAAATATACTAGCATATTGGACATGTTCTTCTTGAAATGCATTATGATGTTGCTATTACCTATGATAACTTGTAACTAATATATATGTCCATGATTTTTTGGAAAAAAAAATAGAAGCACCATAGTGGTTAACAAATAGTGCTTCATTCTCAATAGTTTCCACTTGAAGACATGATGTATTTTTCTAGTACATTCAGATGCCACTTTAAAATTTTGTGTTCCATTACTACTATAAAATTGACTTTACAAGGGCCACCTTTCTTTAATAGTTCAAGTTTTGCAAGTTCAGAACCTGAGTCTTGGCTCTCAGGTAACAATGCTCTTTGATCAGGGACAAGGCTTATTGTCTCACTGTCTTCCCATCTATAAAGTTTAATAACTACATTCAAAGCTAGAATGTTGAGACGTAATTACTGTTTGTGAGTGCTAGGGTGAGCAGATGAAAAATCTCAGTGTTTGCAGAGATAAATGTGTGTTTTTTTACCGTCACCCACAGACAGAAGAACATAGGCTACAGCAGTTGTTGGAGCCTAGCCCATCCTGTAAGATTTATGATGTAGGGATAGAAACTGCTGGAGCTCAGTGGACCACATTTTCAGCAGAGTAATAATACTAGGATCACATGAGAAAGCATTTTATAAATTGCCAGGCTCTGGGTACTTGTTGTCTTATAATGGCACATTACCCTGAACACCCCCCAAGGAAGCAAGTAAGACAGTGTGCTTCGAGGGAGGAAACCATGGGGGTGAGGAAAGCTGCTGGTCCAGAGCAGCAGCGGTTGAGCTTGCATCAGGACTGTGACTTCTACAGACAGCCCTTTTCTCTGTGTGATGTCCATAGTCAGTCACGGGTTTCTCATTCCAAGAATGTGGCTTAATGTGTCCACCTGGCCTACCTGGAATCAGCCCAGGAATATTCAGTTGCTTTTCTTTCAAAATCTAAATTTTATATTTTACTTTAACTAAGCTATCAGATCACTAATAAGTTTTGTTACAGAGATGATTACTATTTGAGGGTAGTAGACTTCATAAGCAATAACCTGGGACTGTGGCCCAGTCCTCCCTTCTCACGTGTCTAAACATCCTTTCCAAGCCTCGTTGCTTCGAAAGGTCTTTGGAAATCCTTGTGTAATTAAACTGGTGTTTTACATGTTGTATTGCTGATGTGATGCTGCAAATGATTGATAATTACAGCATAAACACTATTTCATGTGCTCACAAGCAGCAGCTCCTGAGGGATCATGGGGGTTATTAGATTTTCTTTTGCCAATGATCCTAATAGCAGCATGTTGCTGTCTCTTCTTTCAGGTATGAATTTGGTCAGGCCCTCTTCACTGGCTGGGCTGCTGCCTCCCTTTGCCTCCTGGGAGGTGCCCTACTTTCTTGCTCTTGTCCCCGGAAAACAACCTCTTACCCAACACCACGGCCTTATCCCAAGCCAACACCTTCTAGTGGGAAAGACTACGTGTGACAGAGGTGAAGAGAAGAGAACCTGCGGAAGCAAATACGAAATGGACATTGAAACTAGTATTCACATTGAGGCCTTAAGCTGTTGACTATGGTTATCTGAACTGTGGCATAACAAAAGGAAACATATTTTTATACATCCCTGTGACTATGAGGGGGCCTGGCTGTGCCTTACCATCTTTCCTGAGTACGGGAAGGAAGCCTTTGCATTTGAACTGCTACTTCCCACTGAGTAATCACACTCAAATGGGGGAAGGGTGCTCCTTAAGTGTGTATAAATATGTATATATACATATTTTCTATTAAAACATAGACAGTTAAAAACCTCTTATTCTCCTTATATTGGTACAAGTATACTTAAAATGACTCTAAAATACATACAATCACATAGTGAGTAAATAAGCCTACTAATATATTTTTCTTTTTCTCTATTACCATATATGATCTGTCAAATATCACCTCTTTGATCAGCATTTAGAGTCCTTTCCATAAGAGCAAACTTCCTTATCGACTCAAATTTTGTCCCTTTTCCCATATGTATTCTTCACAACAACATATTTAAATTTTGTTTTACTCTAACAATTGCTTTTTTGTTTCTAACTCCTGAATCTAATAACGAATTTCACAGGCCACACTTGAAGTTTAAAGCAAGCACAAATCACTTAGCTCTTCCATTTCTGAGCTGTGAGAGCAAATCTTCTGGATAGGTGATGTGTTTCAGCCTACCTTCCCAGACAGTCCTTGCACTTTGGTCTGTAGCCTTCTTGTTTGCTCTGAAAATATTTGTTTCACTGAGTGGCAGTACTGCTAACCCTGTTGTTGGAACAGTTTTATTGATTGCATTTTTCAGGTACCTATTCACAATTCCATAGCCTGCAAACTACATTATTTTTCTTCCCTCCTCAGCTATCTTCCTTTCTCACGTATAATTATCGTATGGTTTAGCTCTTCCCAGAGAGGTGTGGTCTGTTTATCTGCACAAAGTGCTAGACTTGCAGGAGTGATAATGTAGTGACAAATATTCTCTCTGTAGCTGTGAGCAATTTACAGTCTTTATACCTCTTTTCCCATCTGTCAAATTGGGATAATTACACTTAACCAGCTGGTAGAGGTAATGTGAGTATTAATTAGTTGATATGACTCTCATTCTTTGAACATGAAATATGCCTAAGTAGTGTTTTTCCTTCCTCAATTAGCAGTTTTGAAGTCACTGAATAAAATCTACACACAAGCCTTCACACTGCTCTGTATCTTTCTTTTCTCATGAGCCTACTTCTTCCCCCTTAGTGTGCCTGGCCTCTGCTTGGTGCTTTCATTTTGACAAATACTCTTACTATTCTAATCTGTAGGAAAGGCCCTTCAGCCGAGAAGATGATGCAATGGAAAGGGTGTTGACATTGACATTTTGAGACCTCGATTTGAATCTCGGTGCTATCACTTAATGACTGACTCACTTGGCTGCCCTAAATGTATTGCTACACCTTCACAATGAGTTCATTAACTCCTGCCATGCCTATGTCACAGGATTCGAGAGGAGACACATGCAAACGTGGTTTTATGAGTGGAAACATGTTGTAGAGTCAGTAAGGAATTTAAGTGAATAAGTTTTGTGGTGAGTTTTCAAACAACTGGAAAGGAAAATTATTGCTTGGGTTTCTTTCCTTAACAAGTGTCTCAAACAATGAGCTACTAAAGCTCACTAAGTTAAACTGATCTTGAGTTTTTGTTTTTTGAGGCAGTGTCTTGGTCTGTGGCCCACGCTGGCCAAGAACTCCTATGTCGTCCAAAGATCCTTGTGCGTCAGATCTCCAGCTGTTGAGATGACATGCATGAGCCCTATCCCCCCATCACATCTTAGGTTCTTTAGTCTTCAACTAAGCGTTTGTAATGTAGGAAACTGGCAGTGTGGATGACAAAGGGCATGAAGTGCTCTTTGTGAAGTGGTACTTTCAGAGTTGGATGGAAGCTAGAAGTTCCAGGAAACATTAAGAATCCTTCATGGCAATGACAGACTTTGGACATCCCCCCAAGGAGGGCCTCATCCTCCCTGGGGAATGATGTGGGGATTGGGCGGGGGGCTGGGGGGCTGGTGGAGGGACAAGGGAGGAGGGGTGGGAGAGGGAGCTGGGGTTGACATGTGAAGCATTCATGTTTATAATTTAAATAAAAAAATTAAAAAAAGAATCCTTCATGGCAAAACCACATGGAGGAAGTTATACAAAGAATGAGTCATATGGACTTGAACTATGTAAGTTTTCTTGTATTTCTGTGTGTGAAAGTAATCATGCAAAGATCTTTTGCCACAAGTATGATTCCTAATGATAGGTAATGCAAATGCATACAAATAACACTTGCCAAACTACATAGAGTTCTATATTCCAAAAATAATCCCATATAAGTTTGATGTCAGAACTTACCCAGTATTGATATTTTTATTCCCTACTACCAAACCTGGAAACAGAGTGATATTTGGGAGCTGTGATGGGAATTTGTATAAAGCATTACTCTTTTTCAATAAATTGTTGTTTTTTAATGAAAATTAAGCTTCATGGCTTGTTTTCTAATCATGTATTTCAAGGCTGTTACTGTGTGCAAGAAGAGCATGTGTTGAGAAAGGACACTGCTCACAGTCAGTGTGTTCCTGGGAAAAAGGAATGGTCCCAGGGAAAGTGGGGTTCCATTTTTGGGGTCTTAGTCTCATTAGGAACAGACTTAAAAGGAATCTCAAGGGCATTTTGTTTGTTTGTTTGAGAGAAAAATAAATAACCAGACAATCTACAAATTGTGACAGTTGCCAGGAAGAATAGGAAGTGTAATAGCCAGGCATTTAAGGAAGCAGAAAGGGTCAGTGGATGACAGAGGCCAGCAAGCAGCCACATGGCAGAAGAGGATGGGGGCTTCTGACAAATCCCAGAGTGTCCTAGAATGACTCAGAAAAGTGGTCAGATCACTTCAGGGCTATATGATATGGCTCTGCAAACTACTACATAGGGGAAGAGTTTTGAGAGTTCATTGAAGGGATAATTATTCCTCCCATCTCCATTGCATGTCTTTAGGTGAGTCATCTTTCCTGAGGGGTGGTCTCTTGGCGAGGTGACTGCCAGGCCCAGTTAGATTAACTCTTAATGGAGGAGACAATAGTATGTAATGTGCCAGTCTTTGGAGTGGATCAGAATGACATGTCTCCACCCAGGGCCAGAGAGAGAATCCAGTCTTTTGACCAGAAAGAAATAACTTTTCTTTAGTGGGCCTCAACAAAGGCATGGCATCCATCCTTATGGCCTCCATGACTACTATAACTTCTCCCAATCAAGAATCAAGACTCTAAAAATATTTAGGCTATGGGTGGGTTAAAATTTACTTCCAAAGCTGTTCACCAGAAGGAACTAGTGTCTGGACTGTAGTTTCAGTCACACCCTCACATGTAGCCTCCAGGAAGAGGAGCTCATTTAGAAAAAGAGAGATAACAAGAACCCAGGTTAGAAACCACAGCTACTTTATGACATTTCTGGCTTCCACCCAGGCAGACCAGAGATCATTTCCAGCTCCCAACCAAGGACAAGAATGGAGCTGCTGCTTGCAGTGTCTCTGCCCTAAAAAAACCAGCCTGTTTCTGTCTCCCATCCTCATCAATATTCTCCCTGACCTGTCTTTCAAGCACCTGTGTTGCTCCATTCGGGAAGAAATAATATCTCTTACAAATGGGGATCTTCTCTAAGATGAAGGCATAGATACCAGGAAATGATATCAATTCTTTCTTTCCATCCACAGAGTGACATGCAACAATGGGGATGAAGAGTAAAAGACAGTCTGGAAATCTCTTTTATTTTTTGTGGTACCATGAAAATTACCTCTTAGGAATGCAAGTGATGATGAAATCATTCCCTTGTTATCTTAAGTATCAGTGACTGAGAGCAGCTTCATGGCCTCTCCTCTGCCAGTTTTCCCATGAATGAGGCCAGGAGTATGAGTAGAAGTTTTAATTCTCCTGGGCAGTCTAGGGGAATCCTTGATGGGGAAGGGATGGAAACCTTTGCCTGGCAGTTTGAATTCCCCTTCAATTGAGGAGATGCAGACACAGCAATGTCCTGCTTGCAAAAAAATTTAAGTTCCAGAAGGTGAGGTCCTGGACAATGAAGTTTGAAGAAATAAAGTAAAAGAACTCTCTGGGCTTTGGTGGCACATGCCTTTAATCCTAGCACTCAGGAGGTAGAGGCAGGAAGATCTCTGTGAGATTGAGACCAGCCTGGCCTACAGAGCAAGTTTCAGGACAGACTCCAAAGCAATACAGAGAAATGCTGTCTCAAAAAAACCCAAAAAGTAAAAAAGAAGAAGAAGAAGAAGAAGAAGAAGAAGGAGGAGGAGGAGGAGGAGGAGGAGGAGGAGGAGGAGGAGGAGGAGGAGGAGGAGGAGGAGGAGGAGGAGGAGGAGGAGGAGGAGGAGGAGGAGGAGGAGGAGGAGGAGAAGAAGAAGAAGAAGAAGAAGAAGAAGAAGAAGAAGAAGAAGAAGAAGAAGAAGAAGAAGAAGAAGAAGAAGAAGAAGAAGAAGAAGAAGAAGAAGAAGAAGAAGAAGAAGAAGAAGAAGTAGACACTTTCTACCACCGGCTCATCCATGTCTAAAGATCTGTGGGTTGCCCAACTAATTCTTTCCCTCCCTTAATTTAGCACACGGCATACTCCCACATCCAGCAGGAAATTCCCACGTTGTTTGGCCTGGCATTAGTATTGTATGAAGACCTCATTATGGATTTCCCCCTTTCCTATTTTCATGTGAAATATTTCCACTTCTTCATCCTTCTCAACACCATTTAAACCTGACCATTCTACAATTTCATTATTTAGCTGGATAGAAATTGACAGAAGGTATTCTGGGGCTCTTAGCTATATGGGAATGACATGTTGAGGTCAAACCTCCACAAACATCATGCTGTTCTATATATAGGATTTCTGTTGACAGCTTTCCAAGGTAGCCAATATTGGCAATTGGAAGTTAGATATAGATACATTAAATTGATATTACTGAAAACCAGTTCCAGTAAATGGAGGAAACCCAGAGAATGTGTTAAATCAATTAGACATAGTCTTGTGGCTGAGTAGTGTGAAAGATGCCTAGTAACACATGAACTTCGCACAGTTCTGACTCGACTTAGGACAGCCATGTGCACATGGAAATTGGCCACCCGCTCCCACAGTGGCTCTTCTCAGTAAAAGCAAGTTAGAGTCACCTGAGAGCTTTATTCTAGGAGTGTACCTCTAGAACAGTTCTAATTCTAGGGGTGTACCTCAGATCAGCAGTCCAGAAGCTCTGAGGAAAGAGTCCTATTTCAGCTGGCCTGGCGATTCCTAATAACAACTGTCATGGCAAAGCACAGTATCTTAAACCAATCTAGCTCAGTATTTTGAGTAAACACACAGTATTTTGACTTGGTAGTTTGCACTGTTACCTTGTCTTTGTTCTCTAAGGTCACCTTTTAATTTTCTGATGTTGGGCTTTGCTTGTGTTTGATGGAGGAGATTAAAGGATTAGAGGCCCACAGGAACATTTGCTGCGTTTCTTTGTACACAGACTCCTTTCTTGACATTTTATTATTTTTAATTTATACCCACAGTCACTCACACAAAGCAAATACTGCACTGAAGATCAGCTTTCTTTTTAACAACAATGTATACTCGAGAATAAATGACTACATAAAAAGGAGAGCCTGCGTTTTTATATTTTATGTGATTTTTTTCCCCATGAAAGACCTTAAGCCTTAATCTTGCTTCACTTTTTTTTTTTTAAGTGAACAGCATTTCTATTGTTTTGATGTTCTGTTTTATTTGTTTTGTGGGTTTTTTTGGTTTTTGAGACAGGGTTTCTCTGTGTAGCCCTAGCTGTTTTAGCATTTCTACTGTTTTCATTCCCATATTCCTTCATTTCTGTGAATTATTGCCTTGATCTTCCCTACTCTGAAAAGAAAAAGACACACACGACTCACTGATGAGAGTGAAAGTCTGAAAACTGATCTATCGTTTCTTACATTACTTGACTGACAGCATCTGTTACCCCGAGTGATACAGGAAGGTGGGGTAGCTTTGAATTCAGTGGTGTCCTTTCCTCTTGCCTCATGTGGGCTTTAACTCAGGAGTTATGGTACCAGAAGCTCCTAGACACCCACTTCCAGTGAGTGAATGGGCTCAAGATTTTTGCCCCAGAAATGAAAGAATACTCCAACCATCGAGGGTAATTTTCGGACAGA